ACCAGTCTACACTCCCACCAACAGTGGACAACTGTTCCTTTTTCCCCGCAGCCCCTCCAGCATTTGTTATTGGTCGACTTTTTGATGTTAGGCATTCTTCCTGGGGTGAGATGGAATCTCAGCTTTAAATTAATTTGCATTTCTTGAGTGACCAATGATGTTGAATATTTTTTCCTACCTTTACTTGCCATTTGTATTTCTTCCTCTGAGATATGTATATTCATCTTAGATGCCCATTTTTGGATTGAGTCTTTCAATCTGTGTGGCCTGATTTTTTTAATTCTTTGATGGTCTAGATAGAAGGCCTTTGTCTAAGTCTTTCAAACTTTTGTTTTTATCTGCATCTTCCAACACAGACTCATTATACACAGCTTGTGAGGCTGTTGGGAGCTTATCCTCACCTGTCTGCAATTTGAACTTTATGGTTATAGTTTGTTACCGAAATGTGGTAAAAGCATCATCCATGTTACTTCCCTGATTTTATGTAGAAATTAGGAAAAATGTACTTACCATTCATCCACTTCTGGGATCTTCTCAGAATTAAAGCCTAAAATTGTTGAGCTTTTCATTAAGTGTTTATTCGTTCATTTCCCTAGTAAGTTCCTGCTTTAGTGTTTTGGGTTAAAATATTAGTAGGATATTTCTTATCTGTATTTAATCAACTTTTCTAGGATCTGTATATGTGTGGGACTCTAATTATTCTTACTAATTCCTGCTACTCACTCAAGTGATATAAATTATAATTTAAAAATAATTATAAGGTCATACAGTTGAAAGAAAGTAAGGCATTAAGTAAATGCCAGAGAAAAATAATAACAACATTTGTCCTATAATAAGAGATAGAACTCAAATTTGAGAAAATAATAATAAAGAATTTTTTGGTGAGATATAAACTTGTGAGCTGAAATCTGAACATTTTTTTTCCATCTTGGAAACTTTATTAGTTAGGCTTATGAACTAGAGTTCATGCTCGGGACACATTCAGAACCCCTCCGCCCCCCTGAATTTCAACAGAAAATGCTTAGCACGTTTTAGGCTAAACTGCTAGTCATTATAGAGGCTGATATACAGGCATCCTAAAAATTAGTGGTGAAGCTAGTCTCACATTCCAGACAGCACGTCCAGGCTGCGTTGCTTGCGCATAGTCTACCCCTGGCCCTGAAGAGCTCTAGCTATTTGCAGGCACATCCTATGCTCAGTGTTCTTCCTCCTCCATTCACTTCCATGGACACACATGTACACGTCTGCAACCTCTGTATGAAGCAGCAGAACGAATCTGTGATACCAGTCAGACTTCTGGGCTGGAGTTCATGCTAGAAAAACACTCAGGACTCTGTTGCCTCCTGCTTTTCAGCAGTACTGAATAATATATTTTAGGCCAACTTCTATTCAATGTAGAGGCATGCTATACATATACTGTGAAAAATCAATATTACACGGAGGCAGGTATTTCAGAACTCACAATCAGAACTCCATGCCTTGCGTCTAGTTTCTACCCAAACACTGAGACTTCTAGCTGTTTGCAGGTATAAACTATACTCTGTGCACTGTTCTACCATTCAGCTCTAGGGGCCCAATAGAGCCAAGGAAAATCCTAGGCTGCAACCTTCATTTAACAGAAGAAATCTGAGACATCAGCTAGATTCCAAAGTAGAGTTAATGCTAGTGAGAACCAGCCAGTCAGAACACTGATGCCTCTGCTTTTGTTGTTGAGCTGAACAGTACATTTTAAGCTAAACTGCTATTGACTATAGAGGCCTGATGTCTATGTACTCTGAACATCAGTATGGTAGACAGGCAGATATAACAAAGAGCATAGTCAGGCTCCCTGTATATAGTCTACTCCCAGACACTGAGAGCTGTAGTTGTATGCAGTTACAAGCTGATATATATGTACTATTCTTTCATTCATTTCTATGAGTAGTTCCAAAAAATATCTGAGTCTGCAACCTTCATTGAAAACAGTACATCAAATCTGAAATATCAGACAGGATTTCAGAGTTCATGTTAGTGAATTAAGAATCAAGGGCTCGCCACACAGCTCAGTGGATTAAGGCACCTGCAAGCAGGCACACCGGCTAGGGGTTCAATTCCTGGGCCTGCCCTGCTGGCCCGGCCTCTGGGGTGATGAGAGGGCAATTGAGACTAGGTGTGGTGGTGTGTTGTATGTTATGGGTCTGTGCTGAAAGAAACGGACGAGAAGACCTGATGAATGTAGCTTCAGAGGTCTCACTGAGATTAGTCTCTCTCCAAGTGAGCCCAGAGCCTCAGAAGCATCTCACATTTATTGAGGGCTAAAGGCTGGCTAAGGAATGTGCATAACTATCTAAGTGAATACAAACTACTGTTTCTATTAACTTCCACCATTTGCCTAACACTAGGTTCACACAAATGCTAGCTGATAACATCCCAAGCAAGGGATCAAAGGACAAGGCCCCTGCAGGAGAAGCTGTTATCTGCTGCCTTGGGTCCCTGCTTGCCGGGAATTTTCAAACAGACAGCAACCCTCCTTAGGCTCAGTCCAGTGTTCCCTGATCTCTTGGGACATCAGACTTTTGTCTCAAATCTATATCTCTACAGTGGTGCATGCCAGTAATCCCAGCCCTTGGAAGGCTGTAAACGAGAATCACTATGAGTCCAATCTAGCAGTGAGATACTGAACACCCTGTAGACACTTCCCTAAAAATTATTAATAATAATAATAAGAAGAAGAAGAAGAAGAAGAAGAAGTTAAGAATTGTACTGCCTCCTGCTCTCCAACAGCCCTGAATAGTATATTTCTTACCTGAACCCCCTCTACCCTAAGGATCTGATATACATATTACAGAGGTAGGCATTCCAGATACCATTCCCTGTATCTAGGCTATCACCAAAAACTGAGAGCTCTAGTTGTATGTAGTTACAAAGGGTACTTTGCACACTATTCTTGAATTCACCTCTCTAAATAGAAGTGTGACAAAGAAAATCCAAGTCTGAAAACTTCATTTTATCATAATTCAAAAGTGAAACTTGAAGCTAATGCTAACTCCAGCTCTAGCTTGTCCTTTACCCAAGCCTTAACCCTAGTCCTACATCTAAACCTACTCGCAAACTTAACCCTAATCCTAAATCTAGAAAAAACCCTAGCCCTAACTCTAACCTTCATCCTAATCTTAATCCTTACCATAGCCCTAGCCTAAATAATAATAATAATAATCCTAAATCTATCCCAAACCTTAGACCTACCTGCACCCTAAAACTAGGCCTAGCTGTAGCCTTAAAGCTAACCCTAGCCCTAAACCTAACCATAAGCTTAACCTGAAAACTACCTCTCACTCTAAAACTAACCTTAGCTTTAAACCTACATCTAACCCTTGCCATAGTGTTGCACCTCGCCCTAACACTAAATCTAAGCTTAAAACCTTGTCGTAAGTCTAGCAGAGATCTAAACCTGCCGTGATAATTGCGTGAGACTTCTGCAGCCTTCTGCCTTTCATCAGAGTTGAGTAGCACTTTCAAGGTCAAACTACTATTCACTGAAAAGGTGTGATATACCTGTACTCTGAAATAAACACTGAAGATGGGCAGACACTTTGGAGAGTACGTCCATACCCTATATCCTGCACCTACACCCCAAAGTGGAGAGCTCCAGCTGTTTGCAATGACAAGCTGTACTTCATGCACTACCTTCTACTTATACTGTTGGCAGAGGAATGCCAATTCATGTATGATTCTACATCTTCATTGTTTTCACCCTATCCCAGAACCTAACACTAATACTAATCCCAGCCCCATGCTAGCACTAATCATCTTTTTCTTACTTTCTTTTCTTTTTTTTTACTAGTGCTAATCTTACACCTACTACTAAACCAAGCCATTGCTCCAAACTTAACAGTATGACTAAAGTTTACACTAGCTTTAGAAATAATCCTAATCCTAACTCCAACCCTAACCCTAGCCTTAGATCTAATCCTAACACTAAACCTAACACCAACCCTACTTTTAATCTGAAGCCTAACTGTAAACCTAACTTTACTGCTGAGACAACCCTAGTCCTAGCGCTAACCCTAAATCTAAACTTAACCTTAACCCGAATGCTAACCTCAGCCTTTATTGTAACATAGCCATAACCCTCTTCAAACAATAACCTCTGCCCTACATCTAACCAGAACTCTAATGAAACCTTAAAATTAAAGCTAGCATTAGCTTTAGCCATAGATTTAACCCTATCCTTAGCCTTAGACCTAGCTCTAACCCTAACCCTAAACCCTAAACTTAAACCTAAACATAAACCTAAGTTAAAACCTAACCCATTCCTAACCCTAACCTTAGCTCTAACCCAATCCCTAGGCCTAAATGCAATCTTTATTTAAAACAGTAGAACAGATCTGTAGTATCAATTAGATTTCTAAGGTAGAGTGCAGGTTAGTGATTCACTGAGAACTCTGATTCCCTCTTTATTCATTTGTGGAGAATAGTTTTTTTTTTTTTTTTTTGGCCCAGTTGCTATTCACTAACAGGTTTGATAAGCATGTACCCTGAAAATCAGTATAATAGATAGTCAGACATTCCAGAAAGGACAGACACACTGAATCCCCTTCATTTAATCTATTTACAAAATCTTGAGCTTTGTGCAGTTACAAATGCCACTTTTTTCCACCATTCTTTCATTCACTTCTATGGGTGTAGCAGTAACCAGGAAAATCCTATTCTGCAACTTCCACTTTTTATTAACTCTAGCCCTGAACCTAACTCTTACATTATCAATAATCCTAGCCCTAGCCCTAACCCTCACCTTTACTCCAAGTAAATCCAAATTCAAGATTAATTATTAATGTTCACTATGGATACAATTTAGTTTTAAAGTCAAAATTAAAATGATCAGACTTAGAGTTCTTTAAGAAACATATACAAAATTAGTGTGAGCGACTCTCAGTCTAAATTCAAGTAACCAGGAATTTCTTTGAGTATACCTAGCTTACTTTCATTATTTATAAGTGTAAAATTCAGATCTTTTGTTCTTGCTTTGGCAGCATATGTACTAAAATTTGGACAAGATAGAGAAGATTAGCATAATCCCTGAACAATGAGGACAGGCCAGTTTTCTCCAAATAAGTTAGTAAAATTCAGAGATTTGGAACTGTTCTGAGTTCATGGTTGATTATTATTTGAATAAATGGTTCTACTTCTTATTTTCTGATATTTAATAATCTTAGATAAAGTTAATATAACAATATATTTAATAGAAGCATATTTCATTTAGAGACCAAAATTTTATTAAATTATCTGTCATCTCTAGATATAGTCTAGAGGAATCTTTTGTGAATGTTATTTCTTCATAATGTCACTGAAACGGTGATGTTCTTTCTGTCTCCCTTCCATGTTTTAAATCACTTGAGACAAATAAGATAAAGCAGCCAGATAAAATGGTTCATTTTTATCACTCTAAGTCAGGCACGTATCAATGAACTTGCTAAAGTAAAGCTCAGATATATGCATTGCAAATTTCTTCACGGTTTGGTCTCTGCTCATGCACACACAGGAGTGAGCAAAGAGAATGTCTGTTTCCTGAGGATAGACTGGGTCCGTGAGAGGAAGAAAATTGAGCCACTTATACACAGACCATATTGATAGACACAAGGAACAGACACTTGCTTCTAGCTGGAGAGAGGCGTTGGTGAAGAAGTCCGAAATCATTATGCCAGAGTTGCTTTAATGAAAGTTGTGAGAGGCTGGCCAGAGTTATGTATGAGACGTGTATGCAGAGGTGAGGGACTTCGAGAACTCAAACCACCCAGAATGCGTGGTTAGAGATGCAAAGATAGCCTACCGGGCCCCAAATCCAAGTCGCATCAAAATAAGTTGCCTTAAGAAATGAATGCTCTGGCCCTTTCCCTCCCCATACTTTGATGTATCGCTTAGATTGGCCTTAGGGTCAATCATATAACTAATCTCGCTGACCTTACCATCTCTTCCTGTCCTTCCCCATCCCTCTTCAGGAATTCTTGAGCAGAAATCCTTCCTTTGTCCTTTATCCTTGCTTCTTTTTATTATAAATAAAAAGCCAGAGAAGCTTCTATTCAGGGCAGTCCTTCTCAGCCTTTTTGGAGTTGGAATTGGACGCTGAATTTCATCTCTTGTGCTGTGCTTAGGTGCCGAACTGTGAGAAAAAAGAAACATTTACTGTAACAGTTTTACACTGGCGGCCTTACCATTTAGACTTCAATGTAAAAATGTATCCATATTGGACATTAATAATTTGATCTTCAATGTTGACTTATTTGTACTTGAAATTAAAAAGATTGCAGAGCCAACCATATGAATAATATATTTTTTGCCTTGGGAAAAACTGCAGTTTTTTATGTAGCAGTGCAAATTGGAATAAATGTTTCTTTTCAAATATATAGTATTCTAAAATTGCTCCATTCACCTCAAACCAACTTTTCATATTTCAAGAAGAATCCTGGAGCATATTGGATTTATATTTTTTTCCCACAGGAGTGTTTTTTTTAAAAAAAAAAATGTAGGTTGGGCTAGGGAGATAGCTCAGCAGTCTATGTGCCTGCCTGGCCCAGGTTTCGTCATGGATAACATGTGCCATGCTGGTCACTGTCCAATGAAACCAGATGTGGCGGTGCATGCCTATAATCCCAGCACTGGGGAGACTGAGACAGAAGGATCACTATAAATCTGAGTTGAGTAGTGAGACCCTGTACCAAACAAATAAATTTTTAAAAAGAAAAAAAATTATA